GATTAAAAAATAAAATCTCAGCGATATCGCGCTTGTAAAACGTCAAGTATTCAGGGTGCGTAATAGTTTTTCTATTTCTTTAAGATGTCCGACATATTTAAAATTGTGGATAAACAAATGCATCAATTCAGTTAAAGGAATAATTACGATAATTAGATTAATAATTACGACGAAAAAACGGAATAATCGAAAACTTTACTATTCTTACTGTTTTTTTGGCAGTGTTGTGATGTTTCATATATACCTAAGCGAATTGAGTGGTGTGCAAAAATATGACCTCAGACGGGAGTCGAATCCACGTTGCATCCATGCTGGGGACGCGTGCTATCACTACACCACCGAGGCACATTTGCGCCATTTGCTCCGCATTCTCTACTCAGTTCGCTCAGGAATATATGAAAAATCATAACACCGCGAAACCAGTAAGACTACTAGAATTCTCGAGTATTATATCTAACAGTGGCTGTCAGCTTAATTGGGTTCATAAAGCGAAATCGCATACCCGACCAAACCTGCTAAGTGTTGGTGGCTGAGTGCTAGCGTGGAGATGTTGAAGAATGAGTGGTGACGCAGATGTGCCTCGGTGGTGTAGTGGTAGCCCGAGTTCCCGGCTTTTATGAAACGCGAGTTCGACTCTTGTATGCGGTCGTATTTTTGCTCACCATTGAATTCGCTTAGGTACATACGAAAAACAAAATCTTGTGCTAAATCAAATACTGCGAAGCTTTCATTTCTACTATTCATAACTAGAGCACACCTGGAAATGGACAAATGAAAGGGCGGTCTCTGGACTAATGTTGAACAAAGAATTCAATAAAATGATCAGTATTAATAAAAGAAATATCAATGCTAATACTAAAAAAGTACAAAACTGACAGAAGTTTCTAAGCAACCCGTAGACGTTGCAAAGGTTTTCGTAAACACTGTTTCTTCCACAGTGCATCTTTAAGCATTTGTTTTTACTGTGAGCATAATCTTCTAAGTGAGTAGATATGAAACTTATTTATTTAGAGTGATATAGTCTCATTTGAGTGAATTTATCCTATTCGGTGATATGTCATCTATATTCAGGACGCAGAAAAACTGTCAATTTTGTATTTTGTCAATTTTCGAAATAGCATAGCATCTTTCCATCAATTTTGATACAATAATGATCTCTCTGTTCAATAGTATAAAATGTGTTTTATTTCTTTGTCAATTTTCAGTTGTGCTTGGATTATGGGTCGTAAAAATCAACGTATCACAGTAGATAAGTTGCACAGGGCTGGAATGAAAGAGGGCAACATTGTTAAAATAACCAGTCTTAACACAAGAAGTGTCTCCAGTGCGGTGAAACGTTTCATAGAAACTGGAGGGACTGTGAATCCAAATAATAATTATAAGATATGTTGAGATTTGAGCGCGGTCTAAAGAAAACATTCGAGAAGAAAGGTGCAATATAGTGACGACACCAGCAAAGAGCAGTCAAGTGTACAACACCGGCTAATCGGGATAACTCCACCTGACAGACAGCGTAAAATGTTCGTCGTCTCTTTACTTCTAGACTCCTAATATAGGGGACTGAGCGCCCCGAGATGATTGGCTAGTGGCGACGGGTACCGAACGACTGACGAGACCGTCAAAGTCGAAACACGTTTATCGGGCTCTATAACTCAGCTCATTTGACAGACCATATGACATGTTTGGCTCAAATAATAATCACGATGTACTAAAATCTGAGCGTGGTCTTAAGAAAGCGCTCGAGACGAAACTCAAAATTCGTCCATCCACTGCTTCTAAAAGCACTCGGTATATCCGCTGCCAAATTCAACAAAATCCGGAGCGCTCGAGGCAGATATTGTCGCATGATTCGCTATCAGCGAGCGAAGCACACGAAACATTGTCAAAAATGTAAAAGTTGCGCCTCTCTTGTTCACTTCCGAAAGAGATATGAATGAAGTACGGCTTTCAATGGCTCTCCGAATGATTCGTTTGATTGCTGATGCTGGTTTGTCTGAGGGAGGGCAGAACTTTTTCCGAACAAGGAATATATATGTACACTTTATAGAAGTGTATATACATACAATTATATATAAAGTGCCAAAATTCTTTGTTTTACACGTCACATAGCAATGTTATGACGTTACAAATATATACTCATAAAACCTGCCTCAGATTTACACTTTTGGACAATATTTAGTGTTTTTGAATGCGTAGTTAGATGAAGGTAACAATCCTATAAAAGTGTTATAATGAAGAGTTGTGCAGAATTATGCCAGAACTTTTTTTTCTTTGGTATTCACTCACGTATGAATAAAACGAGACGTGATCGTCGTCAAGGGCAAACCTTAATCTCACGGTGTCCAGGGAAGGCCAAATCATATTCTATGTATCTTTAGCAGTCCTCAGTTTTATGGAGTTCTATGAAGTAATATTTTTGGTAAGAAATAGGTTCGCGAAGATGGATGAGTCGATTAATTATGAATAATAGTTCTGTAACATAGTGTAATCAGAAGCCTGAGCGGTACCATTCCTAGAATAACTTTTATTACATCATTTGTCCTGCAACTCTGAAGTGCACTTTTGCCAGCTACTCTTGTCTTCAGTCAACTTCAGTATCAAACCAACAAGAACGATTTCAACTTGATCGGCTCAAACAGTCCCTATTTTTTTACATAGTCTCATTGTCAAGTGAATATAACCGCCAATGCACTTTTTTGGTTCTCACTGGACAATGTGGATCGGCATGTTTCAAACAGGCTTTGAAAAATTACCCCTTGGAGCTTACATTGGTTTCTGAAAGCAAAGAAGTCGGAGTTATCAAAAGAGAAGCTGTAACGTGGTTATCAAAGACTATTTGCATAAAATTATATCTATTATTCGGTTTTGCTGGTTTTGAATAATCTCTTCTCTTATCTGCTCAACACAGAAGTAACAACCTTCACATAAAAGCAACTTCTACCAATGTTTATTACTGGCACGTACGTGATTTTAATCCATGATAAAACTATATGATCGCTCATCACAGCCATCCGTGCCAAACAGAATTATTTTTATCACGTTTTCTATGATAATCACCTTCTTCATTATCTCCGCACTGAACTTCACTGCTTCAAAAAGACTCAAATCTCTGGTTTCAGCTTCACGCGTTTCTATAATTTACTATCTGACAAAAATCTGAAAAAAATTTGGTGAGTGCAGTAATGAGTTTTTAACATAAAAATCTACGTAAGTCTGTAACGCGAACACCATGTCGTTAGATTTATTGGGGTCTTTTTTTTCACAAAATCGCGATATGGAATACATTTCCTTTTTTGTTAATAACATTGTATAATTGAAAATATATGTTTTGAAGTGGTTCACACGGTAATTCAATTACAATGAACTATTAGCGCGCATGTTGTTTGATTATTTTAGAATCGCTCGCAGACTAATAGCATTCATGACGAAGTAATCATCATGTATATCTGTACTTGTGATATCGTCTGTTTTACAAATCGGTATCACATCTATCTCATAAACAGCACTAAGCATTTATCAGGACTTTTGTTTTAAGTTGTTTTGAAGTAGGTGTAAGAGTAACAAAAGACTTAAACTATATCTGTGATATCTCCACTAAACTCACATCTGGAAAAACGACAAAACATGTCAGTTGGTTAAATCATTCGAGCACAAAAATTTTAATGGCTTGCAGTGACTGAATAGGCTCTTATTTAAAGTACATGTTAAAAATTTGTCTTCTAATCGTGGATTT